GCTTAATAGCAACAACAGTTAGACCAATGAAATAAATGCAACCGCTGAGTGGCAACACAGCTTTGAGTAGGACAGCCCCCGTATGCATCAGCAGTCCCTCAGTCGCATATCGCTTTTGCCATAGTTCTCACGCCTAGCAGTATGCTAATTTAAAAAGCAGCACTCTAGTGTCGACAGCTACTGCTGCAGAGTTGCAATATTCTTGACAGGATTAAATAGCGCTCAAGTGGTGTAGACAGATGCACATGTGAATAGAGAAAGAGGCAGAGAGAGAGAGAGAGTTGCGCGTTGGTTTCGGGGAAATGGGGTAGTGTAGATTTAATTTCGTTAGTTTATTATTCACCCCACTTTATGGAAAAATACACAAAAGAAAAGGATGAAAGATATGCGGAAATGAGCTCAACTGAAAATAAAATAATTTGTTTCAAATATAAAAAATAGTAACTCGTAGCACTCTATCAATGAGCTTCTTCCAGTTCTATGCAAACCTTTGCCGACATTTTATTCGAAACTAGCAAATAGCCGGCGTGCTTCACTGCGCTTAAAAGTGTTTTTGTGCTGTTTGATATCCGTATTGCAGTATTTAATTTATTTTATCATTTTAATTTAATACATTTTTCAAACAGGTGGCAACCCTCTTCAAAAATATTTCCGTCATTAAACTTAACTAAAACCTAAACTTTCCTTGATACCCATATTGCAATATTCAATTTATGTTATCAATTAAATTGAATTAAGATTTTCAAACAGATGGCAACCTTCAACAAAATATATTTTTTAATTTTTGCAAATCCCACTGCAATATTTACTTTATCCTTTCAATATAATAAAACTGCAATTTTCAAACAGGTGGCAACTCTTTAATTTTTTGCTTTCTATATTTAAAGTTAGACCCTCACTAGCAATGCATCGGTGAGAACTGCATGCGTGCCCTGCATTAGTTTTCGAGTGATGCGCGTACAAACATACAGACTGACAGAAAAAAATTCTAAACATTTTTGACTTGGCTTCTGTTGTTCTATTAAAGACCCCCCATATTAATTTTTTCAACCTCATTATGCATGTGGTGCTCTGTGGCTGTTCGGAGCGCTGTGTTGTGACAGGTCTCCATAGTTTAGAACCGGCAAGCCGATTGTCTTGTATGCTGCCAACACCATGTCTTTATCTTTGCCCCAAGTGCTGCGGCAAGCGATTTGAGGACATTGTTGCAGCTCTGTACTTTCTCGGAATTGCGGTTGTTTGCTCCGAGAAAGAAAGCAAGATATCGAAGATTATTTTGAGAATTTTCGGGTTGTTAACTGTCGGAATTGGTTCGTAGTTTTCCAATCTGTAGTCTGTCCTCTTTCGTTTAAATGATGGAAAGGGTTGCCGTAGGGTAGAAGGTTAGGCTCCTTCCAGTGAAGCGAAAAAGTTCTGAGGTAACCGTTTCGTTTCGAGCACAAGTAATCAATTACATTCCCGGACGTTATCATCAAGTAATCGTCAGCATATCAGATGATGGAGACTCCCTTTGGTATTTGAGGAAAGTACGAAGCTACAAAATGTAAAAACCAAACAGAACGGTACACCACCATGTGGGACTACCTTTTTAATTTTCCTTGACTTTGGAATTTTATATCAGAACTTGACTGATGAGTGTCTAATCAGCTATTTATCGACCACCGTTTGAGTCGTCGTCGTAGAGAGAAAGCCAGGAGCGTGGAATGACACACGGTGCCGAACGGCTTACTTAGATAGATCCAACGCCACTTGGACCCCGGTTAAGTCCACGAGTTTGGTGTGTGTATGTTGCTGTGACTGCTTTAAGGAGCTCTAATCATTTTGTTTACAGCCAGTTCTTCTGTTATCTTCCAAGTTGTGAGTTAATTTTGTTGAACGGCTGTTTGGTCGTGTGCTACAGTTTCCTGTATTTTCTTTTTTTAGTTACCCTTTGATGATCGCTAAAACTTTTCTCAGGCCGAAACTTGCTGAAATTCTTAGTGCCATTTCATACGAAATGCGAAATTATTCTGCCTTTTTGCATAAACTCTTTCACAAATTTGTACATTTCGAATTCATTTTCTATTGTTGTTGATGCGAAAATTAGCGAATAACAATTTGGCGCCAAATTCGCATACAAAAGACGCTGCTGAAGTGTGTAGAATAACTGGGATAATAAAAAATAAGGAAATGTATAAAATTGGCAAATATTTGGCACGAAAAGTTTTGGACGACATGCAGTAAATGGGTGGCAGTTCGCATGAAATACAAAAAGGAGCAAAAGCGAGGAGGTGAAACGTTTGAATTCGGATGTAGTGAAAAACCAAAAGAAAAGAAAGAAAATTAGAAAAAGAAGCGTTGTCAAGAAAGTCGTTGAATGGTGAAGTTTTAATGCGATTTGCTGCAATTTTTTGTGAGAAATAAAATGTGGTAGGAGTGCGCTGCTGAACAAGCGCCGCACAGTGGTTCAAAACCGAAGCCTTTATATTGCAATCAATTTGATCAAGTTTGTTTTTCATGAAAGCTTATAAAATTTGCAGGAGCCAGCTGAGCCCGATTTTTTATTTATTTGTATTAAATTTTTTAGTGCAGTGCAGAAAAAGTAGCAATTTTGAAGAACAAAGATTTTGCTGCTCCAGCTAATAAAATAAATAAATAATAAAATGGAAATTTTATATATTTTTTTTTGAATTTTTATACAAATTTTTGGTACGCAGATTTGTAGATGTTAAATTTTAGTATAATAAAGTGCAAGTGTCAAGTGGCTAAGAGTTCACGTTGATTTTTAATGATTTTTTTTCGTTATGCAGAAACTGTCAGCATACTGTACGTGGAACAAAATGCACAACAAAATGTCAGCTAAAAAAATATGTAAAAATCAACGCGAACTAGGTGCTGTGGACCTAGAAATTTTATAAAAATTAAAAAAAAAAAACAATTAATTTTGGTAAATTTTTTTTATAACAATACGATTTCTATTGTGATTTTTTTTTTTCGTTTTTGGAGAACCTTACAATTATTTTCAACTACTTTTTGCTACTTTTTGTGCACTTTACGCCAACAATTTAATATAAATAAATAAACATTTGATAAGCTTTCAATAAAAAATGAATCACGTTGAGTGAACAATTAAGGCTCCAGTAAATTATGAACACTAAATTCCAATTTGGAACCACTGTACTTAGATATGTATTTATCTACCCACACATTCACAAGTGTCTGCGTGTGCGCCATGTGTGATGCGCTTATGCGGGCGTTTGCAAAGTGGCAACTTTAAATTGAATGATTTTCGCTTTTCTTTATTCCTGTTTTTTTGGAGCTTTTCTCAAAAATTGCCATCGCGAAAGTTTTTTATTGATACCTACTCGTATGGAAGTGGGCGGCGTAAGACGTGAGTTAATGTTACTGAGCAACTTTAAAAACAAATTTCATTGAAACGCTTAAAGATTAACTAATTTAAAAAGTCGTTTTCCAGCAATAAAAGTTAAAAGCATTCAAAAGTGTTGCTTACCTGCAGGCAGGCTGCAGTGCTGTATGCAGTGTTGCATTCAAAGAGTATGCATTGATATTTCTAGTTGCATTTTACAATAAAGAACATAAATAGTAAAGCATTTCAACCGTAATAAATAACTGTACAATTGCGCTTGCGGCAAAAGTCGATTTGCGCGCACCTTACCTGCTCTCCAAGAAAGTGTGTTATCTTGCATTCGTATTTTTGTTTTTGTTTTTTTTTTTCATCTCCCAACGCATAAATGCTTGGCATTGTTTAGCCGCCATTCATCATCAGTCGCCTTTTTGATATGCAAATCGGCTGTTTTTTTTCATTTCTCTTTTTTCTCCCACTTTGATTTCATATCTTTAAGAATGAATGCTATGAAATTATTGCCAGCACCTGCAGTCAAATGTCCCAACAGTCCAGCAGTGCAACAGCCGGTGGCAGCAATTCCCTTAGCTGTGGCGTTGCTGCATGCAATTGGCGTTGAGTCGCGTCGGGTAGTGCACCCGAGCTCCCATTGTTGCGAGCGCCTTTGGTGATGCAACAATTTGGGCTTTATTGTTATTTGTTGGCATTTGTTGCTGTTATTATTTACCGTTTCCCGGCATTCATTGCGATTGTTGCCTGTGGGCTTACGTCGTTTCCTTTGCCGCCCATCCGCTGCGCGTTCCACTCCACTCCACTTCACTTTACTTTCTCTGGAAACGGAATTGTGTTGCAAGTATTTACAGTCCATTGTTGCTTACAGCCGCCTGCCCTTCTTTACTGCTTGCCTTCTTTCCTTTCTTTTTCAATCTTTCCTTCCCTCCTTAAGTCCTTCATTACCTCTTTCAATCCTTCCTTCCCTCCTTCAGTCCTTCCTTTCTTTCTCCCTTAAATCCTTCCTTCCTCCTTCAATCCTTCCTTCCTTGTCTGCTTTCCTCCTTTTTGTCACCCCTTACCTTCTCTCCTCTATTCTTGGATTCATTTATGTAAATAAGTACATAATTCTTCAGCTGCCACTGTTGCATTTACTTGCATTCAAGTTGCAACATTTCGTTTTGTTCTTGTTCTTTTTTTATTTGTTTGCTTGCATTTTTTCTTCAATATTTCTCCATCGGCATATCTCTCTGGACTCAAGTTGCAACAATCACAGTAAATCACAGCATACTTCAAGGCGCTCTGGCATGTTCCTTTGCGTTTCGCGCTTTGTTCTGCTTGTGGCACTTCTTTTTTTTTTTGCTTTGCTTTGTTGTTCGCTAGGTGGCTGCTGTTGCATCACTGCTCTTGAGTCATCGCTCAAGTACTCTAGCCTCTATCTCGGATGTGGTTGGAGACTTGGTCGGTTTTTCTTCTCATATATTTCTTTTGTTAAGATTGTCTACTTGTACTGGGAATTTTTTTATATTCCGAAAGAATTTACATAAATACATTCTCTAACTCTAACTCCTCTCTAAACCAATTCCCCTTTCTCTCAGCTAATCACGCAGCATTTTTCCTTTTGTGAGTTTCCATTAATTTTTATAAATTTTTCTTTTATTTGCAGTGACTTCAAACCAAATACCCCATCAAAATATGGCGCAGCAGATGCAGTTTTGAATAGTAATGTGCCCATTGATGGCGCTAATATGCCAACCCCTACCAATGCACGCAACAACAATAATAATGCAGAGAGAATTGTTACACCATCGACTATGTATGTCCTGCATGGACATCAACACATCGAATGTGAGTAAATTTACATCTAATGCATCTAATTTATAAAATAAGAAGACCTCTTCATGAAATGTAAGAGAGCCGCAACAATCGCAAAAAAAAAAAATAGCCGATGTGGCTTGTCAGTTAGAAACATAGGTCCTTCTTTTCTGCACTGTCCAATCATAAATTAGAATCAGTGAAAACTCGCCCATAAGGTTAGGTTCTATTTAAGTGGCTGCCTGCTTCCGATGTGTGAGAGAGGCACACTTAGATCCATTGTGGTACCAATTGAGGTCTCGTATTCCATCCCATCTGTTCGCGCGAGAATTCATGAATTCCTGCTTCACTTAGATCCGCTAGACAGACAAAAATGTGAGCGTAAAATGAGCGTCTACTTGCCCACGATAGTGTAGGGCAGTGATAGAGGTAGTCTGTAACACTTTCAATTCCTTCTTCGCCGGCTGAAGTCATTGCCGTCAAACTCATTCTGTTAGCATGTCTCCCATCAAGTAGTGACCCGTTATAATTCCACTCGCTTGCCTAAGAAGAGTACGCTCTAACCGAATGGGTGCGGGTCTTGTCGAAGCTGTACCAGTTTTGTAGAGTCGTCTCGGACTTGGCTTTTTTCGACACATTTCCAAAACGCTTTGGATAAATATGCAACAGACGAAACAGCAAATAGCACCGGACCCTTTCACGGGTAAAAATACCGCTCATGGACACGGCGTTAGTAATGTTAGAAAACCCTTGGCTACCGCTAGCGCGGATCCAAGGAGGTCCTGACGGCCGAAAGTCCTGTCGCTCAGTACCGCTTCTAACACAACCCTAGAGGTATCAAGAAACTGTATATTGAGCTGCTAAGTAGGCCTGTACCGCCGATGGAGTAAGTTTTTCGGCCCTCTACATACAAGGCCGCCTCCGAGGGTAGTTCAACAGCGGCCGGGAGTGTAGTTGAACCGGCACAACTGAATCCATTACTTACACAATAGTGATAGGCCTGATGCCAAACGATGAGAGCTAATCCCTCGAAGGGAAGCGGAAATGGATCCTTGCCCGGCTGCTCTCGGGCAAAAAAGGAGGTTCGTCTGGGATGAAGGCGCAGCGAGAGAGAAAAGCGGCATCTAGGCTCCTTGCCAAATTTAGTGAGAATGCTGCTAACAGAGAGCAGAATATGCTGGTGGAGTGGACTAGGGGATCCTTGCCGAAAGCCGAAATTGGACGGAAAGAAAAGACGCCACCGTGATTCTTGGTTCAGCAAACACTACGGAACTGAGCTTAGAAAGGTTCCACCACATTGCGGCAACCTAAAAAGCCCGGCCCAAAATTCTTCTGGCCCTACAAACCCTGCACGGGCTTTCAATATTGTCGCTAGGGACCATTTGGTTCTAGCAAATGTGAACAGGGTACACCCGGAAGGAAACCTTAGGAAGGACTACTAGAGGTCCATCCTTGCAGACTCGGCCGGATCTAAAAGGAGATTCTGCACAAAAATCTGACCCCCCGATAGTGCAAGACGTTGTCCTTTACCGGGACCGCTGAAAACTATTCCCCTGTGCCGACGATGAGGCTTTCTTTGTCTGAGATCTAATAGCTCACCCTTTGTATCTATCTTTCTTTTACTAAAGCGTAAACAAATCCTTTCAAAATGAGAAAGTGACAAAAGACATACCAATGAGTTCTCCCGGAAAGAATCTGCCCTCCACATCCCTGTGACCGGGAATCCAAATGACATTCACACTGTTCTTTTTAGCCAACTTTTGCTATGGCCATGCGAAAATTTTTCAATTAATCATGACGGAGCTGACAGTCACTAAAAGAAATCTTTACCAATCTAGTTCCGAGTTTATTTACAGCATCTATAATATTTAGTTTAAACCTAAACATGGAAGACACTACATTAGTCTGTCAATCGAAATGAGCAGCTCGAGATTACTTCTACCTCTTCACCATTAAGCTTCCAACGATCGATGAAAGTTACAATAGCTTTCTTCTACTCTCTCTGCTTGGGATCTAAATCTTGAAACGTCTTGCTGGAAGCATAATTTCAGCACAATAGTCTGCGCTGTCCGGAAGAAAGCAAAGTAACGGCACCCCCAACTGAGATGTCTCTCTTGAATGATTAGCAGCAAGAGCGGCCACTTTCTGCGGCTCAGTAGCAGGAGATCGTTAAACAGTTTAGAGCATCATTTGACGTTGTTCATACGCTATAGCGAAATCATTAGCATAGGTGCGGCCACTTCGAGGCCTTCCATTTCGTCTCGCGCAAGAGGCAGTCAATAGGAATTGGCTTAGACTCGTAGAGGTGGCGTTGCCGTTTCCGCAAACACTCGGTCGATCAAACCGCGAGGCTCTTCTAGTCTTTCTTCTTGGTAGATAAGAGCTTTAAGCCTTTGAATGTTATTCACACTAATACTTATACCATGTCCCCACGAGCACTGCCAGTTATGTAGCTCGCTTCTGAATTACTTTGGTGAATACCCCGTTTACACGACTCATTCCCAATTCGATTTGACAATTCATTGTGTTTTTCCTTTATTTCCTCCCTTTCTTTGTTTTGATTTTTTCTATTCTCTCTGCTCTGACAGCTTAGTTCGATAAAATTCCGATTAAATTTGTTCACAATTCGCATGGTAATTGGATCTGAATTACCTTGAAATGAGGTAATTCGCTCTAAAAATTTTGAATGGCGAATTACGTAATTCGAAGGGTAATTGGGGCGCCAATTACAAATGAGAGAGCCAATTACGAATGGGTGGTTGAATTGAATGACATGGGGGCTTAGTATAACTCTGTAAATCGTTTCACGCTCTCGATATTTGTTTTACTGTCTAGAAGGCAAAGCTGTTTTGCGTGGCAATTCTGTGTTTGGGACCCTATTTGTGATCCTCTAAATCTCTATAAAGTGCGCTGATTTTCAATGCCCCGCATTTCCAAAAAAAAAAAAAAAAAACATTTAAACAGCAGCAGCAGCTCCAAATAAATCCTTTTGAATAGATTTTTTTATGACCTTAAATACCAAAAAAAAAACACCTATTACTTTCCTAATCCGCTTGACTTAATGTACCTTACCAATGCGATGCAACCCAATCGAATTTTTCATATTTCACGACATAAAAGCAAACAACAAGCAGCAGTCAGCTGTCAGTTATGCCATGGTCAGAGCGCGATGAAAGCTTTTAATTTTTTGATTTTTGTTTTTGTTTTGTTTGTTTTGAGTTGAGAGTATTTTACGCGCCGCTTCGCCAGGAGTTAGGCAGCCAACCAGCCAACCTGTCAGCCAACATACTAGCAACTAGCCGGTTATCCTATTACATCCCTTCCTCCTCGCTTACCAACAAAGCGCAATGACATGACTGCCAATCCGTAAATCCTACCAATTTTGGTTGGCACGTATTGTATTTTTTTACCCGTTTTGCGTTTGTTTTTGCTTTTGCATTTGCATTTTGTTTTATTTTTCAATTTCATTTGCAGTTATATACAGTTATTGCTTTGAAACATTTTAACCGCCTTCCATGCGCATCGTTCTTTGGTGTGCGAGCGTGTGTTTGAATGGTCTGTTGTGCGCGATTTATTTAAATGGAAAATATGATAGCGTTGCTCAACTAATTTACCATTCGGCTACTGGCTCACGTCAGCTGGTAACGACGGTACGTAACATTTTCGGTTGTTTCGTAGTTTTGCATTTGAGCTTTTGCTGTTGTTATGGATGAAAAAAGAAGGCGAATAACAAATCCGCTAGTCGTTTTTAATTAAAATGAAAGCTTATAATAAAACTGGCTATTTTGAATTACACTAACTATTGCTGCTGTTGTTGTTATTTCATTCATACCAATTCCATGCGCTATTTTGAGCATAGTTAGTTGGAAAACGGCAAATCCTCTCTGCTACTCCATAAAGGCTATTAAGCGCCTAAAAGTATGCTGAGCGTGTGAGATATGAGTTGTGCGTCTGTATTTTTTAGAATGCAGGTGAAACTGTTAAAGCGATACTCAACTCAGTTTATGTAAATGCCGAAAGCCTTTTTGGATTTTGAAAACAGGAAATAATGAAAAAATTATCGTATCGCTTTATCAATCCGCTCGCATTGCAGAATATAACTTCTTCAAGATTTTAACAATTTTGCTGTAATATTTTGAGCACGAAAGCTGTTGATTTTTATATTTTAAAGCAAATGAAATGGAAATATTTTCTTGACATTTTTGTTCTGATGGCATGTATGAAAAATAAAACGATTCGTGGTTTTTCAGCCGTTCTCGAGGCTCTTAATTTTTTGTTTTTATGTTTTGGGGCTCTAATTTATTTTTTTGGGACTCCATATGCGTCACTTGTTCTGTACCTAGGGTACGGGGCCAAGAAGTTATCGACACTGCGCGAACCGAAAAATATAATAACAGATTTTTTTGGGGTATTATTGAATTTCTTTTGAGTGTTATTAATATTTTTTTTTTTTAATTTCCTTGAATTTTTTCGCGATTTCTTTGAAAGTTTGCGCGACTTCATTGACTTTTCTCCCAGATTTCTTAGACTTTTTTCGAGATTTGATTAAATTTATTTTGGATTTCTCTGAATGGTATACTATTTTAATTGAGGTTTTTCGAAATTGCATTGCATTTTTTGAGTATTGCATTGAAGATTTCAGAATACCATCGATTTTTTTGGGAAGTCATTCAATTTTTTCC